CTATTTTTCGCATCTGGAGCACATAATCATGAAAATTTTCCGACACACGCTTTTTCCGCTTTTGCAACATTTTATGTACTTCGGCACTGCTCAGCTGTTTATCAAATTCTTCTATTAAGGCTGCACATAACATTTCATAATTTGATACAGTAATAGTTTCCACAAATAATTTGGCCGTGCCAACCATTTTATTTCTTGCATTCACATACTTTTGTTTTTCACTTAATTCGTATGCCTCGGCGTTTTCGTCGAAATTATTTACCCACTGCTTAACTGGTATAGCTATGCCATCGAAATCAGGGACTACTTTTGCAAAGCTTTCCACCGACACACTGTTCTTGTTTGGGTTAGAATCGTTCTTTTCACTCAGCATTTTAATTAAAATTGACAAATCGTGGTTTTGTATACATGTGTGTGTCTCCTCAGAATACATTCTTTTCTCGGTATTTTCAACTGCGCAATTATCATGTAGTTCGACGTTCGCACCTTTTTCTTTTATTCCTGCCGTTGTGCCTTGTTCGCACTTGTATATATTTATCTCTTTTTCGCACGTATGATTTACACTTTGTTCATCATTTACCACTGCTCTGCTTTCCTCTACCATTTCAAACGTTAGATCGAGATCGTCTACACTTTGTGATGTCTTTCCATTTTCCATGCGCGCCACCGGCAACAGATTTTTCTTGCTTGGTGCGCCATTTTTATTTTTTCTGCTTGAGCGTATCATTTTTAAGCACTGCAACTTTTAGATGTATTATTTCAACTGACTGCGTATGAAAATTTATGCGGCTGAGCCCTTATGTAAGAATCATTTTTTATGAATGCTTCACTTAAAAACTTTGAACTGTTCTGAATATTTGTCCGGCTGCTCGACACGGTTGAGCCCCCATGTAAGATTTATTAGGTTTATAAATCGTTTAATAAAGTATATCGAGTATTTGACAAACAATAAGAATAGTATTATATAATAACATAAGACTTAAAAATATGTTTAGACGCCGACTTTTGCAACTTCTGACCAACTTTAGTGACTGCTGTACAACTTTACTACTGACGACTGAATGCCACGACTGCTGCTTACGACTGTTGAAAAACGACTATCCCACGACTTCTTCTTAATTACACCTTCGCCTGATCGGGGGTGCCAACTGATGATAATGGCACAAGGATGCCACTTTACATATATATATATATATATATATATATATATATATATATATATGTGTATTATTACAAATTGAATTCAAGAAATCTATACAAATGCAGAATAAAAAATGTTTTTATTCTGTTGTCTACGGCTTAATAGATTGATTCGGGCAGTCAATCAGTCAGTTGGTCAGTGGTTTCCTCTTCATGACTATTCGCAATTTTCACAACTTTTGTCTTAAGCCCTTCAGGCTTAAACTTTTTCCTACTTCTACAAATGGCATCGGAATTCAGTCAAATATTCAGTTATGCCCACATAAAACGCTTTTATTCATTTAACGTGCTTGTACATACATATATATGAAATGCATGCGGGTCAAAAACTTTTATCAATATGCAAGAACAAAGCACGCCAAGTTCAGTAGAGCAGAACAAAGAAGCGCGTCTAGATAAATAGCTAGTCAGAGACTCTGAGAGAAGGAGTAGAAAACAGAGCATAGAAATTTTTAAATTAATGCCGCCTCGCACAAATTATGGGGCCTTTGAACCATAATAACACTGACAAAAATATAAGCAGGCAGACCAAAACAGAACGTGCGTTGACTTTTCCATTGATTTGGAGCCATTTATGCTTTTGTTCATGCGTGAATGAAGGAATTATTGGTAACTTTGCCAATTGGGGCGGACGCACAAAGCGCCCTAAAGGCTCTTGCGCTAATTTGATTGAACTGGGGAGGAGTTTGAACTTGCATTCATGATATCCATTCACTGAGAACAATTAGGATACATAGCTGCTGTTATGGATACCTCATTTAATACAGACGCATCTTGCGGCGTATACACAATATTTTGAGCAAATAAATTTAAGAGCCGTACAAAACTTAAAGTATTGGTGGTCAGCCTTACGAGTATTTCATGCAAAACATTTTGCAGCTTTGTGAAGTGCTTTTCACTTCAAATGCTTTTAACCCAAGCACCAGATTTTAACAGCTTTCCACAGCCCCCACCCCTTCCACTCTGCTGCCAATGTGCTCCAACTAAGCTCATCACTCCAGCCCCAACCCCCCAACCCAATGTATATCAAGTGGCCGTAAAAGCACAAAAGCAAGCAATGGCGGTTGGCTGCGGGCCACCATGCTCGCAAAAACATAATTAAAATTTGATGATTATCATTTGTTGTAGCCAGCAAGTGAATGTTTATGCCTGTATTCTCTTTTTTTTTTTGGTATGCGGCTTGCAAATTAATTAAAAGCCACAACTTGCTTTAGTTGTTGGTTTTTAATGAAGTGAATTCGTTGGTATTGGCCATGAGCGAGCGAAAACAAAATACATTTCCAATGAATGACATCCTGCCAAATAAATTGGATAAACGAAATGAGAGAAACGCTGACAGCAAGCGATGACTCGCAAAGTTGAAAAGGCCGGCAGTCATCAAATATTTGCACTACGCGTATTGTTCTCAACAATTGCAGAACGTTGAAGAGACAGACAGACAGACAGACAGACAGGTGTTAAAAATATGCTGTTATTGCGAAATCACTACTGATGAGGAAGAATGTTTTGAAAACAAATAATAATTAAAATATCTAAAATATGCTGGAAAGGACGACTTTTCTGATGCCTTAGCCTCGCAGGATAACTTAATTGTTATAAATGGGAGAAATTTAAGTGTTCATCTTTCAAAGATGTCGTATTTTTAGTAAAATAGTAAACCTCCTACTACAATAATATTTGTATTTTTTATTCCGATTTGTTGCGAATTAAAAAAAACCTGTTCAATAACTTTCAAGTTGAAACTTTCTAAGCGAATTTTGTAATTCCACATCCATTCCTAAAATTCATATAACGATTTACACAAATACAGCTTATAAATATCTTCCAGCCTTACAGTTATCCTGCACTGCGAATATACATATTTTAGCTATGTCTGATCTTTGTAATTGTTTTTTGATTTAAAAAATGATTATTTAACATATTTAACATCGATATTCATATTTCTTATGCGACCTTGTAATTTTTGACATGAAAATAAACAAATAAAATGAAAGTTTAGATTTTGTAGTTAAGATATTTGGCTAAGATCTATAACATTCCTTGTGGGCACTAAATCACAAAGTTTCAGTGCATTTTTTAAACATTTAGCTAATATTGTGGGCCGCTTTTTAAGCATTTACTCAATTTAATAACTTTGATTTTTTTATTTAAACAAATCGAATAGTTGTCAGATCTATTAATGAAAGGAATCTTATTTACTTGTATTTATGACTTAAATCTGATACAAGATGATTTTAAATAATCATAACAATTTTTATTTGAATGTAAAAACAACCAATTAAAGAACGGTGGCAAGCTACAATTATTTATTGATTGGATGATAATTTTATTTTATTTGGCATTTCTGGCACAACAAAACAATTGACAATTCTAACTTAAGTTTTCAGAAGACATTTTTCGATAAGTAAGAGCACATACTTTAAGCGAATCTTACTAGTTTCTCACCAAGTCGAGTTTTCTTATTAAATTTTTTTATTAATAATTTCAAATGCTCTATTTTTATTTATTTTCATTGTAAAAAAGATAGTTAATTTAACTTTTGTAGAAAATAGGCGTTGAGCTTAAAGTTCAAATTAATTGAGACATAAATCATGAAGCTAGTCTTATATTTCTTAGTCAGCTATGTATTTATTTAATTCAATGTGTAAGCAAGTAAATATCTATAGATATAAAAGATTTAGCTTGAAGGCTAAGCATCCCTTGACCTGCAAATTTTATACAAAAATTTTGAATGACTAATTTTTTACACCGCCAGCATTGTCAGCTAGTTGGAGATATTTTTGATCTTTGCGGGCAATGATAAGACTGCATCATTGGGAACGTGCCAAAGACATTTTCCGCAGGACGTGACACTTGAAAATGTGCCGCATTTGCAACGGCGTCTACGTGACGAGTGACTGCAATGCTAAAAGCTAGAAAAGTGGTTGAATTTGCTTAAATTATTGCAGACAACATATTTTTATTCAAGTCTTTTGAATACATACAATATACGTACAAATGTTTTTATGCAACAACCAAAAAAAGAACTTCAAACGTTGACTTTGATGAATTTTGATAAATGGGCGAATATTACGCATACGCCCGGACTAACGGACCATCCAGAAAGCCAGCCGCGAACAAATCAACCAAAGAACCACATATATTGTCAATAAATGGACGATAGAAATCAAAATCGAACAGCAACAATATTCATTCGTATGCAAATATGAACTCAATGGACAGTCGGATTGACGTCGTCGGGTGCGCGTGATTGGCAAAAACAAAGTCAACCGACAGTAGCCTGACAAAAAGTGCAATTAGAGCAATACAGTCACACACACACACACACTCGCACATACCACCACGCTTGCAGATTCATGACACAATCTGTCTTCGTTTGAGCGTTTTGTGATGCCAATGACAAATGTTTTTCTGTTTCATTCGTTTGCATATTGGCGATGGCCAGCGTTGCGTATACTTACTATTTATTGAATGTTCCCATAAAATTGTATAACTTTTCCAATCAACCACTTCCATTTACTATTTATTTTAAAAACCCTCAAATGTTTTCTGTTTCAATTTCAATTCCAATCAATTTTGTTTGTAGTGCTTGCAATATCATAAAATAAAACTGAATAAATTGAATAACTAGTGCAATATATTAAAGGAATTTCAATATAATAAAGTGAAATACAATATTGTTGGTGTTCAACGACAGCGTCAAGGCAAATTTTCCCACAAACACAAAAATGGTCGCGCGAATCGTTAAATAAAGCGCGACGCCGCTTTATCGAAACTTGCATCAAGTTAAGAAACTCACAATGGGCGACACATTGGAGGAGACGCCGCCGGCGCGACGCGACAAGCCCCAAAGCTTGAACATTGTCGATGGGGATGAATCCTCAATTGCCGCCACCTCCGCATCCGCCTCCGCCGCCTCCAACACACGTCCGCCACGCAATCGCGCGCGCATGCGTGAACGCAGCGATGAACGGGATCGTGAACGTGAACACTCCTGCGATGGCATCATTGGCGGCACAGTCAGTGGCAATAAAGTGGCCAGCGGCAGCAACGAGTTCGAGAGCATTGAGCCCAAGCCCCGACGTGAGAGTCTCAACAGCGAGCAGCAGACCAGCCCCAGCGCGTTTGCCAACAGTCTGAACAAAGCGATGCTGGGACGTGCTCCTCGTTACCCGTCCAGCGCCGCAGGCGCCACAACTCGCAAGTGTGTCCTCACGCTGGACGGGTACTCCTATGTCATAGGTGAGTGATTGTGGGCGGAATTGTGGGACGCAACCACGCCACTGCCCTTAGGCAATTGGTTACAACACAGCCCTGTAATCCCAAGCAGGCAGTCAAAGGGATTCGCTTACATTTTATGGGCTGTTGCTTGCAACATTTACGCAGCCACAACAACATCAACGATAAAGGCACTGTGGTGAGATGTTTCCATTTCGAAGGAAACATGAAAATATTTGGGTTGGGCATTTGTTTAATATAATATCTGTTATTAGAAAGTAGTTTGGGCTTAAATGAGCAATTAAATTCGGATTTCTCTTACTTCAGTTCTTAAAAACTCTTATGGGAATTGTTTTTCCAACTACATTGAACAATTTCTAAGATAAAAAGTGGAAACTAAAAGACTCTCATTTCACATTTTGAAGAAATTGTTGCAGTTTAATTGAATTAGATGAGAGATAGAAGAGCTGCAGAACTGACTGCATCGACAGGGACTTAGCTTTTTTATTTCAATATTAGATTCTCTAATTTAGTAGCAAATAGATAGGTGAATTTTTCATTTCATTGATAACAATCCCTGAAGTATATAAACCCTGAATCAATTTATAGTAACATACTTGAATTAGGGTTTGTTATCAATGCAAATTTAATATAAAAGCTGTTATTAAAAAGTAGTCTGGGCTTAAATGAGCAATTAAATTCGGATTTCACTCATTTCAGTTCTTAACAACTCTTTTGAGAATTGTTTTTCCAACTACTATGAACAATTTCTAAGATAAAAAGTGGAAACTAAATGTTTGTCATTCGGGTTTTTCTAGAAATAGTTTGCAAATTAATTGATTTAGATGAGAGAGAGAAAAGCTGCAGAACTGAGTGCATCGGCAGGGACTTAGCTTTTTTATTTCAATGTTAGATTCTCTAATTTAGTAGCAAATAGTAGATAGATGGATTTTCATTGATAATAAACACTAAAGTATATAAACCCTGAAGCATGTATAGTAATATCCTTGAATCAGGGTTTGTTATCATTGAAAATGCATCTATATATTTGCAACTAAATTAGAAAATCTTGCATTGAAATAAGATATATAGAATATATAAATCCTGATGCATGTAGTATAGTAATATGCATGAATCAGGGTTTGTAATCAATGACAGCCCAAAACATAAACTCAAACAGTTTTGTAAATAAATTTCGATACAGAGTAAAAAAAAAGTAAATGTATCTTAACAATGTTAAGTATTTGTTTTGGCAATAAGCAACTTTAAAGAATAACTTTCAAATCTAATCAGTTTTGGACTGATGCGTGCTTTTGTAGCAAACTTTCCCCCTCCATTTCGAACACTTTCTGTTTCATTCTCGCCAACCTACTCTACTGGAACTTTTCCTATCCCTTCCGTCGTGAATTTTCTCCCTAATTCTTTTATATATTTAGCTATAGTGTAGGTTTTACATGGAGTTTCTCCAGTAGTAAAAGATTTTCTTTACAAACTTTTACATGCTTATATATTTTCCCGCTTTTTCAACCCAACTCCATACTTAATAGCACCTAAGCTGTCCATATTTGATCGCGTTTCCACGTTTTTCTTTAGTTCAAATAATATCGTCGATAAAGGAAGTCTAAGACTCATAAAAAATTCGCTAAGCTTCAGAAGGTCAACTGTTAAAGAAACAGAGTTAATGTTCTGCCACTTTAGTTTAAAAAAAAAAATGGAAAATATGCAAAACAATACGAAAATTTTGCATTTGTGAAGGGTTTATGGAGTTCGGTGATGACGAAAACTTTGCTGATGCTGCAACGAATGATGACCACCACCAACGTTTTGATTTCTTTTCATCAAAGTAGGTCGACTTCAAGTCAAGAACGCAAAAGAGTTCTTTTATGATAAAAATATAGTATTCGATAACATTGTCTATTTCTTGTGTTGTAATGCGCATTAGCCAAAATCCGCTCACATCAGCTTATTAGTTTATAGTTCCTAAACAAACTTACCCAATGACATCATTGCAAGTGACACTTGCCAACAATTTAGCTGACTAGCTGGCCTAGCAAATAAGTTCGGAATTGCGTAACAGCAAAATGTAAAGAGTTGGTGCCAAAAAGCCTTGAATTTTGCCTTTTCGTTCAAAATAAGTTATAAATTAATTAAGCAGAACGCGAACAAAAAACTTAGCACTAAATTATTCAAATCGGCAGGCATTTCCGTTTTTAAAGCAAGTGACAGCTTTCCGTTAATAAAGTTTTATCTTCTTCTTTGCTGGCCAGTAAAACAGGTTGTCAGTTATGGCCAAGTGGAGAAATCCTCGCTAGCGTTGTCTGTCTTGTACCTGCAGCCGTCAATTGGTAACAACTAGACTAATAAGGTCCTGCGTAGCTTATCGCCCTCTTTTAAATTGTCCACCAGGCGAGTCTGAATTGAATAACTTTTTGGATTTATTTGAAAGCGCTGGATTATATCAATGCTCGACTATATTAATACAGCTCATTGTCCATCCGCATTCAGAAATTGCCTTCAATGTTTAGGGGAATAAGATTCGTCTCAAGAACATTCTTTCGAAACCTGCCAGTGTCGCCTTTTCTGATGTTGGTTATGTTTAAAACAGCATGGGCAAGATAAGGGACTTGCATATAGAGGGGTTTTTTAAGTTAGACAAGAAAGGGATTTATTCGTGCAGTGATACTCGTTATATTCCGAATATTTCACAGAGCTCATTCCCTATTTTCTCTATGCTCTATTTCAACTACAAGTAAGTAGACTCTGCAGTCCGTTCTGAAAATGCAAAGCAATTTCAATTTTATTGCAAACGACTAATGTAAATGATAGTTCATTTTACGGTTTTTTTAAAAGCGCACCTGAGAGTCTCAATCTCAGACAACTCATCATTATACAATTAAGCAGCTTCACAGACACGATAGGAGTAATTAGAATGACACCACTGTGCCATGGCACTAGAACTCAAAAAAGAAATATGATCCGGTGTGAAGACATGAGGCTGTGCGCTGCTCCTTGGGCACGTACGAACAAGGAGCCGGCACAGGCAGCAGTCACCTTGAATGGCACGCTTTGTTAGTCTCCTCCTCGCGTCCTCCCGTCCTGTTGAACTTTAGCCTGTCTGAACTTTTAGGTGCTGTTGGGACCTTCAGCGTGATGTGGTCCCTTCTCTAGCACCACCACCTCCCTCCCACCCTCCCTCTCTCTTGCTCTCTCTCTCTCTCTCTCTCTTTGTCGCTCACCTACCTCCCTACACCCACTCCCAGCTCAGTGAGCTGCTGCAATCAACGTGGGAACACACTTTTGCTTAACTTTTAATTTTAGCCGTGCGCACGTTAGGAAGCCAACGATTCCTCGCTTTCATTGTCTTCCACTTGTATATCTGTAATACAAAAGCGCATAAAATATATATGTACTTATATATATATATATATCTATTTTTCTATCATTTCATTGCAGGTAAGTCAATTCAAAATGCTACAAAAATACAAACTCCTTGCCAGGCTGCCACACAGATTGCAGAAAGCTGCGTAAGATGAGAGCTGTGGAAAGGTACGTTACGTGCGATCCTTGCTGCCTTTTAAATTGAAAATGAAATTGAATTTCCAGCGAGTTGGGCTATTATAAAGTTGCCTTACTGGCTGGCGTGCCTGTCTGCCTGTCCGCCTGTCCGTCTGCCTGCTGCCTGCTGCCTGCCAGTCTGTCCTGTTCTGTTCTGTTCTGTTAACCAGCACAACAATTCATTTAGAGCAGATGGAATATGAAAGAGGGCAGGCCAGAGTTTAGTTGTGGGGTGGCGCTCAATTGTGGGTTTGAGAAATTTATGGCGAACTTTTTATGGGCCTTGCATATGCCCTGTCATGGCAGCTTGGTCAGTAACAAAACGACTTAAAGTGGAGCAAATTCTGAGAATATGCTTTGTTGATACTTGCAAACCGATTTACAGTGAGTACTGGATGATGTATCGTTGTTGCTCTTTGAAGATTTAAAAGAATGCGAACAAATGTAAAAGCTACTTATTCAAGAACTTATTAAAGTTGGAAAACAAATATGTATTTGAAATTGTCTTCAATTCTATATTAAGAAATTAATTAGCAGATGTAAGTAGGACCAGAAAACTAAAGAAGCCAAGTATTATCAACATAAATTTAATTTTCTGGTGATTCTTTTAATTTTCACCCACATTTTATTTTCACTTACAAGTACTGGATGATGTATCGTTGTTGCTCTTTGAAGGTTTAAAAGAATGCGAACAAATGTAAGAGCTACTTATTCAAGAACTTATTAAAGTTGGAAAACAAATCACAGTCTAATTGAAATTGTCTTCTATTCTACTATTCTATTAGGAAATTAATTTGCACATGCAAGTAGAGCCACAAAACTAACTAACTAACTAACTAAGCCAGGTGTTATCAAAATAATTTTTCTATTTCTGGTGATTCTTTTTATTTTCAATCTACCAAATTATCTTTGTTTCTTATAATTTGTTTGTCATCTTTGTCAGCTTAGCAATGAAAAGTTTAAATTTATTAGTTTGAAACTTTAAGAACTTTTAAGCTAACAAACTTAGTTACTTACTTTTTCTTAGGCAGCACCAATTATTTAATTTCATTTTTCGGTTTGACGCTCTTTGCTTTTCTCACTTGCTTAAATAAAATTGCGAATTGAAAGCCTCAATGGAAATCCACTGCTTCTTCAACGAAAGTAGAACTCGGTTGCTTTCAAAGATAAATAAACCCTATGAATTTCCAATGCTCTTTATATGGAGTTCCTTCAAGCCGAAGCATGTTATTTTTCATCTTTTAAAGTTTGTGGTTTATGAGTGTCTGACAAAGTTTAATATTCATACCAATTATTTAAATGACGCTCTTCTGAAATGGCACCTAAGGTTAATCTCAGCTCACTCTCGCTTAATGGGGCTCGCTTTTATAGCAGACCCGAGTAAAAGTTTTATTTTTAATGTAAGCCAATGCTCTTATTAAGTTGATTGCCTTTTCCTCTGAAAGCCCACCTGAAATAATTTCTGTGGC